TCTCTATTCCATGCCTCAAACATCTCCCTGTACGTTCCATCTATTTTTCCCAGCTCAGTCACGTACACTTCCCTCTCCTTCTTGTACAACGGACATTCCGCGACTACATGAACACGGTCTTCGCATTCGAAGCCGCAATCACATTTGAACTCGTCGTCTTCCTCGTCTACCGTCCTATGTCTTCGTCGACGTTCTCGAAGGCCTATGTCCCCGGTCCTGAATTTGACCTTGAGCTTTGTTCCTGCATCCATTGGTCCATGTAGGTAGTCCTTGAACCCTATTCCTTCCTTCAACATTCTGTACACTTCTAGACCCTCCTTATCCTTGGATTCTTCCCTCAGATAATGTTCTTCTCTCTCGGCACAAGCAACAGATATCTTCTCCTTGAACCCCTGTAGACCCTCCGTGTCCAGCGTTTCATCTTCGTCGATGTGAAGCCCCTTCCATACGTCCTCTACAACCTTGACCCATTCCGTGGGTTGTCTACCCCTCTTACTTGTTTGCCCACTTCGGGGGGGGCGGCGGCGGCTTGTTTTACGACGTCGTTGCCAAGCGACGAAAACACAACCCCGATGGTAAACGCCGGGGGGGAGTCAGGAGGGGGTCGGAGAATTAAGCCGACTTGTCAAATAGGACGGCCGTGTTCGGGGAGAACAAAGACAACCGTCGTGTCTTGAAGAGATAGAGGGAAAGCAGCAGTGTGTGCTTTTTGGGGGGAGGATGCTGACAGACTGAATGGGAGGGGGCGGGCCGAGCGGCCCATCCGACGGCGCTGTTGTTCCATGATTTCTATTAAGTCGGACCAGCCGCCACCGCTACGTCACGGTACCCGCCCCGCCACGTCGAAAGTGCCCGCCCGAGCCCGGGAGATTACGCACTGCAGGTTCGTCGGACATGTCTTATTGCCGCCCCGTTGTGCTCCCTGTTGCAAAGGATCTTAACTTCGGCGGTGTTTTTCCATGATTTCTACTAAGTCGGACCAGCCGCCACCGCTAAGTCACGGTACCCGCCCCGCCACGTCGAAATTGCCCGCCCGAGCCCTGCAGATTGCCACTGCAGGTTCGTCGGACATGTCTTATTGCCGCCCTGTTGTGCTCCCTGTTGCAATGCATCTAAGATTCTCAACTTTTCGGGTCGGAAACGAGACTGACTGTGAACGGCACTGTCGTAATACCCCTTCACTAGGAAGACGTCATTCGACGGTTGACGGAAAAATACCGCCAGACGCAAATAATTACTTCCAATTTCACAATTTCTTCCGCTTGGAAAGTATTTGTCCCAAAATCGTTGAACTCCGGGGCGTGTGTGTGTGTGTGCATTGTCCCGGGTACGGCGGGCCACCCCAGTTAAGCGTTCAAAATGGAGAAGTTCGGCCGCTCGGAAATTATTTGTTCGAAAACAGTTCCAACTGCGGGGCGTGTGCGTGCATTGTCCCGTGCACCAAGGACCACACTTGAACATTAACATGTCACAAGTTCAACGTTCAATTATGCTTGTCGGTAATTATTCGTTCGAAAAGTCATTGGTATTCTATCTTTGAATCTTTTCTCAGATAGATATGGATGGATTCGTTGGGTCATAATTATCAACATAAAAAGAAAGTTAGAACTCTCGGCTGTGTGTGTGTATTGTTCGTTCGAAATTTCATTGCTAATCTATCTTTGACTCTTTAGAGATTGCTATATTAACAAAATAATAACCGAAGTGTAAAAAGGACGTTTGCCCGACACGAGATAAGGTGCCCCAAGCCTTATATACTGACATGTGGTGCCCACATACCCCCCCCGGATACGAGCGAGCGGACAGCTCAGCATCGTAGACAAATACGCGGGTACCACGACGCACCCCCCGTAGCATGTACGGTAACCGGAACCCGACCGGCTGGCGGCGGACAAAAAACAACCCATTTCCACGTGCCCCGATTCGAACCCGGGCCTTTGACATTGCAGGGATGACATCCTGCCGCTGACACCACTGTCAAAGGGGTGTTTTCCCGACACGAGGAATGGTGCCTCAAGCGTTATATACTGACATGTGGTCCCACAAAAGTTGGAGCTTCTGGGGCGTGTGTGTTTACCACACGCAGCAGGTTCGACGAACCGCACCTCAATACACCGTACAAACCTAACCGGACTGTTTTCTTAGGTAGAGAGAGAGAGATGGATTCGTTGGTTCATACTTACAATAACAGAGAAACATGGAACTCTGGGGAGTGGCGCTTTACTACATGCAGCAGGTTCTACGAACCGCACATCAATGCACCGCAACGAACCTAACGGGGCTGTGTTGAAATGCTGTGCATAATTTACTTAATCCATACAAAGTCAAGTGGATTCGCAATTTCCGACCTTGGGCAGACGATTATATCGTAATCGAGCTTAGGAAATCGGTCAAGGGGATGTGATATTGTGATCGAGGTGTGAAAATCGGTCCAGGGGGGGAGTCGTGTCTTGCGGCACCTACAGGGGACCGTCACCGCTGTGCCGTACCTCGACTTCTCCGCTCTCAGCGTGGCCAGGTTTTCTCGCAGCAGCTGCGACAACGCCTCGATGTCGTCCTGGCCGGGGAGGAACACCAAGACGTCGCCGTCCCCCTTCTCGTCCTCGTGTATCTGCAGGCAGGTCATCAGGCACGCATCCAAGTAGTCGTCCTGCAGAAACGTACCGCGGCGGCAGAACGCAGAGGCGAATCAGGGTTAGAACCACATAGGGGTAGAGGTCACACATCGGCGGCAACACAGGGGGGCGGGGC